ATGTCCATATATTTGGTTAGAAGGTAATGCAAAACACTTTAATGTAGTGCAATTTGAAGAGTTTGTACGTTAATTGTCACTTCGAAGCAATTCGAAGTAGTGCAATTGGAAGTGAAAATATATTGTTAAGGTCTGAAGAATCATGCTTCGAAGGTCTTGAAATTTCCGTAGTCTCATGATGCATCGAAGGTCTCAAAGTAAAGCATAGAAAGGCCAACTATTACTAATGGTTCGAAGAAAATAATGTTGGCATGCATTGCGACTAAATCAAATTGGTGATATTTTGCTAAGAATTCACCATTTTAAACACATGCAAAGTAATCCAATTTCAAAACACACATCAAAATTCAAAGCATGTGAAATTATTTTAATTATGTCTGAAACTTTAAAAACTCTCCAAGTAGGTAGCTATTATGCATTCAAAGCTTTTAAAGCTTGTAAAATATGCTGTAAGCACCTTCGGAGCAAGGTTTAGGTTCTTTTTTAACAAAATTGAATCATGTTGCATGATAAAAGAACCTTCGAACACGTGTCTCCCTTCGAATACATTAATTGCCAAATGTGGTCTAAATTGACGTACAACTCTTCATGAATTCGAGGTTTTTCATTCTGAAGGAGTTGCGGGGGTTAATGTTGGCACCATAAATAAATAATTTTTATAGTTATTATTTATATAATTGTAGGACATTTAGCACTCTTTTACTCATTTGGAGGTTATGAGAAGTTATAAAATATTAAACACGTGTAGAAAGATGATGAATGACAAAGTGGAGAACATGGAGCATGAATTGGAGATTAAGGGAAGTTATGGAGACATGGAGATGAAGTGGAAGATCATGGAGTGTGAAGTGTGGGAGATGGGAGAATATGGTAGTTATTAAGTAGTTTTTTCCTACAAATGTTTGCCTATAAATAGTCATTCATGGCTACATTGTAAAGGATCCAAACCTTAAATAAAAAACAATTGATTTCCATTTTTCTTGTCATTTATATTTCCTGCACTTAATGTTTTACACTTTATTTTGTGCACTTCATTTTTGAAGCATAGGATTGAAGCATAGGAGTAAAGTTAAATTTTCTACACTTCATTTTCAAAGCATAGGAGTAGAGGTAAATTAATGGTTAGTTTGATTGTTTACTCAATCATCTTTCTTCGTATCCCTTCTTCTTTTTTTAATTTTTCTTTTCTCTACACTTGGCAATTTTGAAGCCCTCTTCATTGAGTCAAAAGAACTGTCAACACAATCGTTTGATAATTGGCTTGAATGTAATCTGTAAGGATTTTTCAATCCTTGTTGGCATGCTCGCATTTATGGTATTGTCCTTCGTAGGTAAATATATGTTGGTTTTTTTGGCTTTCAAAGGTTAAAAATGTAATTTGAGCATGCTAGCATGAATCAATGAGTCCTTACAGAAATAATAAATGTCAACCAATTAATTAGACGATTGCTTCGAAGTTTTTTTTAGCCTCAATGAAGAAGACTTTTACTAGTGGCTTGTTTTAGGAGAAAATTCAGAAGACTAATCACAAAAGTAAAAAAAAGAGAGAGAAACAATGTCAGAAATCAAATTTCATTAAGTAAACAAGAGTTTACAATTGTACCTTTGCACTTTTACAGTTTCGAAGGGGGTTACAGCAATAGACTAACCTAAAACTACTCCTAGGAATTTGAAATGTAGTGGAAGAAAGTAAAGGACTGGAAAGCAAAATTGTAAAGTAAATAAATTGGCTTCGGGATCTGGTTCTGGTGGCCTTGTAAATGTAGCCATCAATGGCTATTTATAGGAAAAAACTTCCAGCAATAACTACTCAATAACCACCTAAAACTATGCACTCTTCCACCTTCATTCCCACAATGTCACATATCCCTCCATATCTTCCACTAAGTCACTTTGTCCATAATATTCTTCACCCATGCTTTAACTTCTTCCACCTTGTCTTTCATGTTCCACCATGCAAGACCACTAACTTTTTAACTTTTGTTAGCTTCTGATTGATCAAGAAAGTGGTACGTGTCCTGTAATAATAACAATAATAATAATAATAATAGTAAAAATAATAATAATGTTACCATTTATGGTGTCAACATTACCTATTTAAATACCATAACAGCACCAACGAAGTGCTTCGAAGGGACACTATACTAAAGGCATATGCTTCAAATTCAATATGAGTGCTTCAAAGTGATCAATTTGAATCAAGAAGCATCAATTTGATTTGGACACAATACATACCAATCATGTTTGGTATGAGTTATTAGTGGAAGCTTTGTACTTTCTTAGGTGACAAGTTCAAAATTTCAACATGAGACACCAGTTTGTAATCAATGAATGCATGCATTCACTGTGTATGGTGTCCAAAAATCATGGCTAATACTTCAATGACATGGCAATACTATTATGTTCATTATAAAAAACCTCTTCGAAACTCTTTCGAAATCCTTCAAAGTTTCTCTGGCACCCTTCGAAGATTACTAGAAGGTTCATTATAAAGAAGGACATATTAAAGCCTCCTTGGAGCTACTTCGAAGCTAATTCAGAATGCTTAGAAGCCACTCTGAAATGATTCGAAGTTTACCGCCATGTAAAGGTAAGAAATGTCTCACTTGACAGTAGCCAATATCAAGGCAAAAAATTATGAGACGTCTCGAATTCTTGAAGAGTTGTAATTCAAAGGATGAAAGCCATCCTCTAAAGGTATTACTAGAGGCCAAAATCATCCTTTGAAGGTTGAAGATGTCAACAAAGTACTAATTACATCCTTGGAAATACTCGGCAAAGTTTCAAAGGTTCACAACCACCATTATTATTTTTTCTTTCTTTGCAACTATTGTTGATGCAAGATAGAGTGCTTCGAAGCTAAAAAATTATGGCAAAAAGGGTTTTCAAAGCACACATGTTGACAAACAACAAAGCTAAAATGATAGTTGTTTACATATCCACTTCGAAGACAATCTGGAGTATAAAGACGTCATGTCTAATACATAGTAAAGACTAGCTTTTGGTCAAGAATGATGGTTTTCACATTGCATGGTAGAAAACAACAAACATGTGATCTAATTGTGTTTTCTACAGAGCTTCTTCTTCCTTGGCCAACTGTAAATTTGTATTGGCCACTATTTCACATATAACCATGAAAATAGCCAGGACCATTATTATCGGTCATTTCCATGCTTCTCATTGTCAAAATGTAGGAGAAAACTCAACAAATATATTTTCTAGATTTTGATATTTTGTTAACCATTTCATCAAAATTAAATTTTGATGTGAACCACAAATCCAAAATGGATTTTGAACAACGAAAAGAGTGGTATATGGTGGTTTTGGAAATTCAAATATTTTGAGATTTTCCACATCATCAAAAATTTTAAATCTACTAACCGTAGGTTGCTCATCATTTTTAACCAAATTTCATTAAAAACATGCTCCCTAACAAGCTTTTCATGACTTGGCTCTCTACAAATGGATATATGAACCCCCCGAGCCATATATAGAATATCATTCTTAGCCATGTTTGACTCAAGAACATGCTCTTTCGTTATGTTAATTTCATAATTCAGCTCTTTAAAAATGGGCTCTTGAACTCCCTGAGCCATTAGCTATTTTTTCACTAATTTCAATCATAAAAAACTTGAATACATTTTGTAAAACCTCACAAATTCAGTCATTAAAGACTTGGCATGAAAGGTTGATAACTCACGTCTCCATTGGCAAATTTTCATATCAAGTTGATAAATTATTCCAATTAAATGGTATATTTTTTCTTCTACCAAATAATATGATAATGAAATAACTTAAAAATTTCCTTCATCAAGAAAATTGATCTCTTCTTGAAGATCCAAATTTTTTCTTTCACGCTAATATATTTCATATTGATAAATTTGAATGGCAAAATCTAATTCGTTTGTCATTTCTTTTTCTTGACGTCCCACTGAGCGCGCCAAAAATTGTTGTTGGATTTTTTGACTTTCGAAGGTGAAAAATGTAATTTGAACATACCAGAAAGGATCAATAAGTCCTTACAGAAATAATAAATGCAACCAATTAATCAGACGATTGCTTCGAAGTTCTTGTTAGTTTCAATGAAGAAGACTTTAATTAGTAGCTTGTTTTAGGAGAAAATTTAAAAGACTAATCACAAAAGTAAAAGAAAGAGAGAAACAATGTCAGAAATCAAATTTCATTAAGTAAACAAGAGTTTACAATTGTACCTTTGCACTTTTACACCTTTGAAGGGGGTTACAACAATAGACTAACTTAGAACTACTCCTAAGAATTTGAAATGCAGTGCAGGAAAGTAAATGATTGGAAATAAAGAACTGGAAAGACAAATATAAAATAAATAAACTGCTTTGTGAATCTGGTTCTGGGGACCCTATAAATGTAGCCATCAATGGCTATTTATAAGAAAAAAACTTCCAGCAATAACTACGCAATAATCACCTAAAATTACCCACTTTTCCACCTTCATTCTCACAATGCTACATATCACTATGTTTTCCACTAAGTTACTTTGTCCGTCATATTCTTCATATGTGCTTTAACTTCTTCCACTTTATCTTCTATGTTCCACCGTATGTAAGGCCACTAACTTTTTAATTTCTCTTAACTCTGGATTGATCAAAAAAAGGTGTTACATGTACTGCAATAATAATAATAATAATAATATTATTATTATTATTATTATTATTATTATTATTATTTATGGGGTGAACAAATGATTCTTCACATTTTGGAACAAATTGTGGTTTTCATTCAAATTCAAGAGGAAGAAATCAATATTGCGGTTCTAGAGGTGGTAGGTACACAAATTTTCGAGGAGGTAGATACAACAATCGCAATAAAGGCAGACATTCTTCATCTAGATCATCTAGCTCTGGCTGTCAGATTTGTGGAGGACTATATCATATTACCTTCGATTGTTGGTATTGCATGGACCCTAATTTTTAGTCTTCATCTTCCTCCTCTCATCAGCAGTATTCTCAGGCCAATACTAGGGCATATGCTGCATCTGTTTCTCAAGTTCCTCAGGTGTTTTCAGATTCCTCTATTACTCCATGGTATATTGACTCAGTAGCTACTAATCACTTTGACTCGTGATTTTTCTAATATTCAGCAGTACCAACCCCATCAAGGCCAAGAGCAGGTTCAAGTAGGTAATAGTTCTTCATCGCCCATCCATCACATTGGTAATTGTCTCTTGCCTACTCCACATTTTGCTTTTCATCTCAAAATCTTCTTCATGTTCCTTCCATTTCTTCTAACCTGCTATCTTTTCATCAGTTAACCAAAGACCATAATCGTGTTGTTATTTTTTTTATGCCGATACATTCTTGATTCAGGACAGACACATGAGCAAGGTCCTGCATAAAAGGACTAATGTCAATATTCTTTACCAATTTTTTGCATCACTACCTAGGCTGTCTTCACTGCCTCTTTAGTCTTGCACTACTATTCTAGTCTTTGATCTGTTTTGGCATCAAAGATAGGGCATCCCTCACCACAGAAACTTCAACATTTTGCTTTTCATTTACCAAGTAAACCTAGTATAAATAAAATTTTGTCTTGTACTGATTGTAAGTTGTCTAAAATTTATAGATTACCTTTCCAGTTGATTGTCCTTTTTCACTGGTTTACAGTGATGTATGGGGTCCCTTCAATTCAGAAAATGCTACTTTCAGATTTTATGTGTTGTTTATTGATGATTTTACTCATTTTACTTAAATTTACCCTTTGCACTACAAGAGTGAGGTCCATGATAAGTTTCTTGAATTTAAGTCCTATGCTGAAATTCAATTTCACACCCGTCTCAAAATAGTTAGAACTGATGGTCGGATTGAGTTTGTGAATAAAAAGTTAGACTCTCTCTTGTCTTCTCAAGGAACCATTCATCAAACTAGTTTTCGTTATACTCAGGCTCAAAATGGTATTTCTGGAACAACAAAAAAAAAAGTAGGCACATTATTGAAACTGCTATAGCTCTCGTTCATCATTCTTCTATTCCTCTACTTTATTGGTTTGATGCTATAGTTGTGGTTGTGTTTCTTATCAATAGAATGCCTAGTGTTTTTCTTTTCATCACAAGTCCCCTTTTGATGTTTTCTCCATTCAATCCTAGATCGTTCCTTCTTCAAAGTGTTTGGCTGCCAATGCTTTCCTTGGCTCAACCCATATGCTACTCATAAGCTTCAACCAAAGTCTGTGCCTTGTGTCTTTTTAGGATATTATCCAACTATTAAAGGTTATAGGTGCCTTAATCCATTCACTGGTAGGGTTTATATTTCTAAGCATGTGCTGTTCAATGAGACTTGTTTTCCTTTTTTAACAAATCATTTAGTTGCACCTCCTTCTTCAACACCTGGTTGTTATGAAATGAATTGTAATTACATTATGGGCGTCTTCTTCACCTATTGTCTCTTCTTCTTCAGCTCATATTTCTTCTCCTTCACCTTCAGGTCATATTCCTAATCATTCAAGTCCTATTTCTTCTAATCCTTCGAATTTTGTATCTCCAACTATTTCTAGTTCTTCTAATCAGTCTATGCCTCTTTGCTCTACACCTACCTCTGCTGCAATTCCTATATATTCTATTTCAATTGATATATCTCTTCCTTCACGTCCTCCATCTTCTTTTCCTTCTTCACCTGCTCCTATTTCTAATGCTCATCCAATGCTTACCAGGTCTAAGGCTAAGCATCCTCTTTGTCTCACTGTTTCATCCTCTATTCTTCAAACTAAGCCTCTTACTGTCAAAGAAGCTCTTGAATCTCCTGTTTGGGTTGCTGATATGCAAGAAGAATATCAAGCTCTTCAACGTCAAGGCACTAGGGATCTGGTTCCTTTTTCTTCTAACCAGGTTACCATTAGCTGCAAATGGGTTTTTATGATTAAAAGGAACTCTAATAGCATGATAGCTAGATATAAAGCAAGGTTGGTGGCCAAAGGCTATTTGCAACAAGAGGGTATTGACTTTCAAGAGATCTTTAGCCCAGTGGCTAAGCAACCTACAATTAGAATTATCTTGTGTTTAGCTCTCCATTTTCAATGGCCCATCAAGCAATTGGACATCTCTAATGCTTTTCTTTATGGCAAATTGGAGGAAGAGGTATACATGTTGCAGCCACTTGGTTTTGTTTAGAATTCCACACAAGTTTGTAACCTCAATAAGGCACTTTATGGGCTTAAACAGGCCCGATAGGGTCTGGTACTCTACTTTTTCCTCCCTTTTGCTCAATTAGGGGTTTCACAACAGTCGATCTGACACCTCTCGCTTTATCAAACACACAGCTACTATTCTCACAGTCCTTATGCTTTATGTTGATGATATATTGTTGAATGGTAGTGCTCCTGCCTTGATTACTTACCTTCTCTTACAGATGTATCACACTTTTTCAATGAAAGAGCTTGGTCATGTGTCTTATTTTTTGGGCATCTCAGTGCATACTCAGGCCCGTGGTTATTTTTTGCCTCAAGAGAAGTATGCAGCTAAGCTCTTGATCAAAACAAGTCTAGTGGATTGCAGGCCCTGCTCCACACTCTTAGTTGTCAAACCATCTACTTCTCCAACTGATTCGCTTCCTTTTTCCCAACCTTCTTTGTATAGAAGTGTGGTTGGAGGCCTACAATATCTTACCATCATTAGGCCTGATCTGGCTTTGGCAGTTAACCAGGTCTGTCAACACATGCACTCTCCCACCAATGCTCACTTTCAAGCTGTGAAGAGGTTGCTGAGGTATGTCCAAGGCACCATTTCTCATGGCTTAAGCTTTACTTCTGGCTCATTTTCTCTCCATGCCTTTTTATTTTTTTTATTCCAATTAGGTTGGAGATAGCTTGGATAGAAGATCTACATTTGGCTACTGTATGTTTCTTGGTCCGAATTTGATCTCTTGGTCAGCAAAGAAACAAGACACATGTCTCTAGGTCTTCTACTTAAGCTGAATATAGGGCCTTGGTTCATGCAGCTGCAGGGCTTACTTGGCTACAGTAGTTGCTTAAGGATATGTTTCTTCCCCGTTCCTCTGTTCCAGTTCTTTGGTGGGACAACCTGTCAGCCATGGCTCTGGCTTCCAATCCAGTATTTCATTGCAGATCCAATCATATATTGAAATAGATTGTCATTTTATTAAAGAGAAAGTAGTGGCCAAGCAAATTGATCTCAGATATGTCGCAACTGCAGATCAAATTGTTGATGTGTTTATTAAGCCCTTAACCACCTCCAGGTTTCATTATCTCAAAGACAAGCTCTTGAGGGGGGAATGATGAGATAACAAACCAAGATTCAGAGAAGCAGCCATCTCAGCTGCAGATGCAAGCATTAGTGCAGCAATCCAAGTCACAAGCGCAGTGTCACGACCCCAAACCGCCCCTAGTAGTTTGGTGCCGTGATGGCCAGTAATCCGAGATTACCGAAGGCCAACTTTCAAAAATTAAACTCAATCAGAATATATTATACGGGGCTCACAAATGCGGAAGCAACAAATCAAAGTTCAAGTGGTCCATAAGAGCAGTGTATAAGTCAAATGAAATGGCATACATCTTCACATAACTTACAACTTGAATACAACAAAGTAAAATACGTATTACATCTTTATCAAAAGGCTTCTCGAGCACAAGCCAAGAAGCATGATTTTCAAGATTCGCCGACATAATAAAAAAAAATGACATCGCCGACGTGAATACAAAACAAAGCCGACAAAATCATGGATCCAAAACAAGCTTTCAAAACACATTATAGGCGTCGCCGACGTCCTGCTCATCACCTACATATATATAGAGAGGGTGAGCTTGGATACTCAGTGAATGGCACAAATAATAAAGGTTTTGCATGAATATAGCCGAAGTCTTTCAAAACAAAACATGCCAAAAACCATACGGATATTAGCCGAGATCCTTTTAGAGCAAAATCCATCAAAACTTTATCAAAAGAAGAGGTGAACCGTATTCATCTATCAAGTCTTACAAGTCTCAAGGGATGCATGCTGGCATCGGCAAAATACAAATCAAGCTTTCCGAACAAACAAATCCACGCGGTAAACCATCAGTGGCAAAACAAGGGAATAACCGATCCATAATCGATTAGGCAAGGGTGCTGCGAAAATTTAGAGTCCTCCAGCACGAGGGACTTGTGTTACTTAGGCCTGTAGCCCTTTTTAACACGATGGGACTTGTGTTACTTAGGCCCGTAGCCCGCTTTAACATGATGGAACTTGTGTTACTTAGGCCCGTAGCCCGCTTTAACATGATGGAACTTGTGTTACTTAGGCCCGTAGCCCGCTTTAACATGATGGAACTTGTGTTACTTAGGCCCGTAGCCCGCTTTAACATGATGGAACTTGTGTTACTTAGGCCCGTAGCCCGCTTTAACATGATGGAACTTGTGTTACTTAGGCCCGTAGCCCGCTTTAACATGATGGAACTTGTGTTACTTAGGCCCGTAGCCCGCTTTAACATGATGGAACTTGTGTTACTTAGGCCCGTAGCCCGCTTTAACATGATGGAACTTGTGTTACTTAGGCCCGTAGCCCGCTTTAACATGATGGAACTTGTGTTACTTAGGCCATGCATGCAAATGATCCCGGCATTCTCACCAGATCCAAGTCAATAACAAAGCAAAACATGCTGGGAGTTTAAACACTGCTTCCGTCTCATGAAAACACACTGGGTACCAACCAGGTCTTTGCCGAGGTCCCACACCTCCTTGCCGAGGTGTGGTCCCGTTGGCCTCATTCAAAAGCAAAGACGGGAAAACCTGGGTTTCCCTTTGAAGAACATGAAGAACATGATGAACATGATCATGAGGAAGATGAATGCAAGATCATAACTTGTTACAAAAATCTGAGATTTCATGCCATGAGTTCAGAACATGGACCTGGGTACCCATACAAGAAGGTCATGTAAGAACAACACAAAACATGGTTTTTGTTCCAAACTTTCGGATCAAAACGAGACTTTTCTTCAAGAACACATGAATACTATCTTTCTCTTTCGAAACCAACTTCAAATCGATGAATGACATGCAAAACAAATTCGATCATGCAATGCAGCTAGATGATCAATAACAACAACCAGAGTAGATTAAGATTATTACCCCAAAGCTTGAATCTAACGGCTCAAACTCCAAAGGTCAACTCGAAAATGTACTCTCTCACTCTAAAACTCCTTCTCCTTCTTCTAGAGCTTCTCTCTCTTCAAGAACAAAACTTTCAACAAAATGATACAAAAGAATGATATGTTCACAGGCCTGCCGGCTGACTTAACCTTCAGCTCGGACACGTGGCGCTATTGGGTTGGTTCAACTCAAAAGGTGACTGATTGATAAGACAAGTCTTATGACAAAATGTATGCAGCAAGCTAAGGCAAGACACATCGGCATGTAATGACATCGGCTAAAGTCAAAGCTTCGGCAACAGGGTAACAAAGACATTGGCTAGGGAGGACGACACTTGACTAAGCTGTGCCACGCCTTGGCCTGGGCGCGCCACACCTCGGTCTAGGCCATACCTGCCCAAGGACAAGGATCACTAAGTGTAGAACATCTCGGCAAACATGCCGGGGTGAAGATGGGGGTCGACCAAGTGGTTCCAAAACAGTTCTAAGTACAAAGGGTCAGAGGTGAACTAAGCTCAAGATGACCTCGGCTACACACCAAGCAAGGAACAAAATCATCCAAGCAACACTTAAACAAAACAAGGCAAGGCAAGGCAAGGCAAGGCAAAACTTGCAAAACAACATAACAAGACAAGATCATGCATGAATGTATGCACGTACGACAAGAGTAAGGTGAGGGTTGCTACACGCAGCCTTACCTCATGACATAAGTGCAGCCTCAGCACTTGTCTGTGACACCATGTGCATCACAGGCTTGTATAGTCAAGAGGTCAAGTGGTTATAGCTGGACTAGTTGTGGTGGTTAGAATCTTGAGTTTGTTATGTAACTGATTTTGTATGAGTATCTTGTAAACCATTGAATTGATGTACGTTATGTTTGGTTGGAGAATTTGGGAAATTATTTGGAAAGGAAAAGGGAAAAGGTATGTGAAATGTGAATAAAATATACCTATATTTCACTTAGTTTCATACACCTTTTTTTTTCCCTTTTTAAATCCATTCTCAAATCTCCTAATCAAACACAGCGGTAATGAAAATATAGAATTCAGTATTTCTTCTATATAGTGTAAATAGAGTGTTCATGATTTTAGATTTTGTGTGGTTGACTTCTTGTAGCTTCTCCTAATAGTTCTTATGATAAAAATAATTTGAATAATGGAGTGCAATTTGTAAGAAATTACAAATTTTTTGTAATGAAAGTTACAAATATTTGTTATATCTATTGCACATTGAGGTAAGAATTTATGGTGTGTATGGCATGTGAAAGTTGTACTTTTTTTGTGGTGAACAAAATTATATCATTATATGATTTATGTTATAAATAAATAAATAAAAAAATTATGATCCTACAAAGATGATATCATATGTACTTTTTAAAGGTACACATAATAACATCTTTAATTAAAAAATTTTTAAAAAATTATTATTCTAAATAATGTTTTTAAATTTTTTATAAATTATAAAATTATAACTTAAAATAAGTTAAAGCCCGTCGGTGCCTAATTAGGGTGCAATTATGGTGGGCTTAACTTGAGCCTAACCTGAAATTTTTTAAGATTTGGATAAGATATTTTCTAATTCGGTACAAGTTTGGATAAAAATTTAGAAGCCCAGATTAAATTTAGTCAGGCTTGGACAAAGACATCAAACAACCGGAAACCTAAATTATCTTATACTATTTCGTTATTTCGTGTGCAATATATATATATATATATATATATATATATCCAGATATATAAAAATATTAAATATACAAATAAATTATTAGACATTACATGATATTAAAGTAATTTAGATTATTAAATTATACTAAATATATATTATATACACAAGTAATACAAAATCTTACATTTTTTATTGTCACTCATAAATTGTAAAGACTATCATAGCGACATCTCTCTTATATTATATAAATTATTTATTTTGATATTATTAATGATTTTTCTTTTAAAAAAATATGAATAGTCTAATTTTAATAAATTAATAATTTAGTTGCAAAAAAAAAAAAAAAAGAAATTCATGTGCAATTTAGGTTAACTCGAGTCGTAAATGGGCAGACAATTTTAGATTACAATTAAGGCCTGAGTGGGCCTGGACAGGTTTTAGTATAACTTCACTTGGACTTGAATAACCTCTTAACCTATCTGAACCCGCTCGATTTGCACTCTTAATCCCAATGCCCATCCGCAAAGTAATTTGTTATCATTACAAATTAGAGAGATTTACCAATTAGCGTATTTGTCGAGAAAAAATTTCAAATCAAGGTTAAAGTTTATGATCATTAATAATTAAACATATTGCATAAACTTTTTCACTAATTTATAAATATTTTGTCAAAAAGTTACTGTGTAATTTGATATGATAGTTGGTAAAATAATTCGCTTAGTTATGAGTTTTTAAATATATTTTTTTTTGGGTGTATGTTTGTTATTTTGTTGATTTTTGTTTTTTTTTCTTTTCTTTGGGAACTATAATTTTATAAATAAATTATTGATATAAATATGATTTAATCAAGCTGTTAACGATCTAAACAACATCTTCAATCCGATTAAAGACTATTCAAAATACCAATCATCTAAAAAAACAGAGTTCATTGCTATTCAAAACTAAAAAATAGACTTAATTTTTAAGTCTAATAATGTGACAATCAATTAAGATATTAAAGAGAATATTTTTTTATATCTTTTTTAATTATCAATTAATTATATAACTTGCCCAACATCAAGTCTGAAAAATGGGTTTAAAAAGTAAAATTATATATCATTTTTTCTAAAACAAATCCTTTGAAAATTCAAACGGAAAGCCACTATCCCGATCGTAGCCGCAAGTGCCTCGCAATTCCGTTCCGCATTAGTTAACTCGTAACTGCCTATAACTGCCCACGTCCCCCACGTTCTCTCTCTTTCATACCCGATATCTCAAAATCCCTCTTTTGTTTCGTTTTTTTTAAACTCTTTTCCGCTCTTAATTAACACACTCGCATATGATATATGATGATACGAATCAAATTTGAAATTACATTACCAGAATTTCCATAGAGCCTCCTCCTCCTTCCAGTAGTACTAATAGTACAGCAAAACCACTCACTCACTCAATCACTCACTCACTCTGTAATTAAGAGGGAAATGAAGAACAAGAATACAAACATGGCTTCTCTCTTTGGTCTCTTCTCCACCTTTCTCTTCATACTATTAACCGCCGCCATCAACACCCCCTCTGTTGGAGCTTTTAAGGAATTCAAAGTTGGTGATTCTGAAGGTTGGCAACAGCCCGGTGACAACCACACCGCGTTCTACGACCAGTGGGCTGCAACCAACAGATTTCTTGTTGGAGATTCACTCCGTGAGCTTTCTTTTTTTTTTTCTTAATGAAATTTGGTTTTACTTTCTGTTAAGAAGGAAAAAAGTATATATGGTATTAATTTTTGAAAAAAGAAAAGACAAGGAAGAGAGTTTATTGATGAAACGTTTTGTGTTTCGGTTTCTTTAGAAATCGATAGCAAATCTTTGGAGAAGTATATTTGCTATAGGCTTTTAAGGAATTCAAAGTTGGTGATTCTGAAGGTTGGCAACAGCCCGGTGACAACCACACCGCGTTCTACGACCAGTGGGCTGCAACCAACAGATTTCTTGTTGGAGATTCACTCCGTGAGCTTTCTTTTTTTTTTTCTTAATGAAATTTGGTTTTACTTTCTGTTAAGAAGGAAAAAAGTATATATGGTATTAATTTTTGAAAAAAGAAAAGACAAGGAAGAGAGTTTATTGATGAAACGTTTTGTGTTTCGGTTCCTTTAGAAATTGGTAGCAAATCTTTGGAGAAGTATATTTGCTGTAGTTTATTACATTTCACCTTTTTTTTATTTCATTTGTAATTGTATGTATTACAAATTTATACGTAGAGAAATAGAGATTTTCATTACATGATTAATGATTGTATAAGAACTATGTCAAGACTCCAAAACAACAAAGAGATGTTTTAAAACTCATAGAAAGATGACAACTTACATGTCCTGAATTTTGATGGTGTGTTGCGGCCTCATTGTAATGAAGATATCTTAATCGGTCAATGACAACATAAATTTTTCATTTTTTTTTTTTACCAAGTTGTTTTTTTTCATTAAGCACATGATTTTTCAATTATGTTGCAATTTTATTTTGTTCTGCAAATCTATTGCATCTTTGTTTTGTGATAGAGCAATTCTTTACCTCCAGTTTTTATTCACCATTTTACCACCAAAGCATATGTCAGGATATTTTTCACCTCAATTATATTCTTCATGATTATTTTCAAACAAAGGAACAAATTAACCATAAAAATTCAGATAAGCAGTGAGTGATATAAAAGGGTAATAAAAATTGATGATATATAACACTTTTCTTTGTAGCAAATCCAATTTAAAAGTCTTTACATATTCATGTGAATATTTTGTGCACTTTTGTTTTTTATACTTGGTTTGTTCACCTAGGTGTTTTGGTTTTATTCCCAACATTGAACAGGTTTCGAATACAAGAATGACTCTGTTCTTGTTGTAGACAAATGGGGTTACTTCCACTGCAACATGAGCAATCCAATCTCTACCTTCAACAATGGCAACAACACTGTAGTTAGCCTTGACAAGCCTGGATCTATGTACTTCATCAGCGGAGACCCTGATCACTGCAAGAACGGTCAGCGATTGGTTATCCAAGTCATGACTCTGCACTCAATCTCCAATTCTCCTCCTTCCATTGCCACTTCACCAGAATCATATTTGGCAGAGTCTCCATCACCTCTTTCAAGCTCTGGCGCGTCAGTATCAGTTTCAGTGACATTTATGATTTCAGTTGTTGTAACTTGTTTGTGGTGTGCACCATAGGCTTTTGTTTGTTTATGTTATGTTATGTTATTATGTGAATGACTGATATACTTTTCATGTAGGTTATGCTTTTTATGTTAGAATGTGGCTGACTCGGAATCATTTGGATTTGAGTAGTTATGATTCCCTGTTAAACTTTGGTTGGATTATTGTGTTTGTCACTCCTTTTTCTTGACCTTAGTGATTCACTTTGAATTTCCTTGTATTTTATTGGAAATGCATGGTCGATTGTGAGGAAAGTAATGAGTTTTATTTATTTATTTATTTGAACCTATAATTTAAGCATGTTACTAGTGGAGGGTTCAAAGTCCTTGGATCTGTCACTATTACTAATGCATGGTATTAAGAACTGTCGAACAAGGGTAATGCCTTCTCCGCGGCCTTTGTTTTGTCACCAAAATCACAACCATCACAACTAAAATTGTCACAAATACCCAATATTTATTTTGGCAATAAGGGTAAAGCGACTAAAAACCCATTTACTATTAAATGACTTCGTTTTATTTACACTATATTAAGTCCAAGTGATACTCCATATTAATATCTATTAGAGTAAATCATTGGATTCATAACTTTTGTGTTGGAGTTTTAAGAGATGGACAATATGTAAAATGTTAAACTATAGGATCCAGTCAGCTTTTAGCCTGTGGTCTCAGATTTTTCAATTACAATGCGCAATAGATCTGTTAACACAACTGAAGAAATATAAAAGTGTATTCAATAATATTGTGTATGTTAAAATAAAATACAATGAAGGGCTGTATATATAGGTAAGGAAGAGTAGTGAATAAGAAAGGAAATCCTAATGCGGAAACAATACATATTACTATATAATATATATAAAAAATATATTTACTAACAACCCCCTCAAACTGAAGGTGGTTTCAAGGAGACCAATTGGAGTTTGGAAAGTAACTCATTAAAACGACCAGAATAGTGGGTTTTAGTAAACAAATTAGCAACTTGAGCAACAAAAGAAATGGACTAGAGCTGGATAATATCACTAATGACATGCTGACAAATGAAATGACAGTCAATCTCGATGTGTTTGGTGCGATCATAAAAAAACATCATTGTGAGCAATCTGAATGGCACTACAATTGTTACAATGAAGAGGAGTAGCAATGGAATAAAGTACACCCATGCCCTCAAGTAACCAATGAAGCCATAAAAGTTCTTGAGTGGTGTCAGCAAGAGCATGATATTTTGCCTTAGTACTGGACCTAAAGACAACAATTTGCTTCTTACTTCGCCAAGAAATCAATAAACGTCCAAGAAAGAAACAATAACAGGTAGTAGAGCGACGATCTGTGGGATCACTGGCCTAGTTAGCATCAGAATATGCACATAACTCAAGGGAAGTGTGAGCAGAGTAATGAAATCCATGAAACAAACTACCCTTCACACATTGAAGAATACGAAGAACGGCAACATAATGAGGAGATTGTGGAGCAGACAAATATTGACGGACAATGTGAATTGCATAAGAGATATCAGGCCAAGTAATAGTCAAATAGACCAGACTACTAGCTAATTGCCAATACAGAGTCGTATCAGAAAAGAGAGTGCCCTTTAAAAGGGTTAGGCGAGTATTGTACTCAAGCAGTGTAGGAGCAGTCTTGCTATGTGTGAGACCAACACGAGATAAGAGATCAGAGGCATATTTGGCTTGAGTGAGATACAGGCCACTTGGAGCGGAAGAGATCGCAAGACCAAGAAAGTAACTAAGAGAACTCAAATCCTTCATCTCAAAATGAGAGCTGAGAAAATGCTTCAGCTCATGAATGCCATCCAGATCATCACCAGTAATAATCACATCATCAACATAAAGCAATAGAAGAGTAATACCACATGCTGTCCTTCGAATAAGAAAAGCAGAATCATAAGAGCTGGAAGAAAACTCAAATTGAGCAATGGTAGCACTAAACTTAGAAAACCAACCACGAGAAGCCTTCTTGAGACCATAAAGAGCACGACGAAGGTGACAAACAGTAACTAGAGAATGCTTATAGCCTAGAGGAGGTTGCATGTAAACTTCCTCAGTAAAATCACCATTGAGAAATGCATTCTTAACATCCATCTGAGATAAATCTCACTGACATGAGGCAACAACAGTAAGTAAACTGCAAACAGATGTAAGACGGACAACATGAGCAAAGGACTCCTCATAATCAATACCATACTCTTAAGTGAAGCCTTTGCAACAAGACGGGCTTTGTAACGTTCAATTGTACCATCAGAATGAGTTTTGATTTTATAGACTCATTTATAACCAACAGGAGTTTTGCCAGAAGGAAGAGAAACCATATCCCATGTATGTGTCTCGTGTAAAGCTTGTAACTCATCTGCCATTGCTTGTTGCCAAAGAGGATTAGTACAAGCTTCATGATAGGTATGAGGTTCATGTTAACTTAGAATGGTAGAAAAACAGTGATAATCTTGTAAATAACCTGGCTGTTTAGACACCTGTTTTGAAAGAGGGACAACAACGGGAGCATTAGGAGAGTCACTGTTAGAGGAATGAGGAGACTCTAAAGAATTGGCAATATCAGCACTCTCAGAGGATGGTAATAGAATAAGATTACCAAGTAAAACAAGATCATCAGGAATAGCCAGAGAATTACTAGATGAAGAGGTATCTGTAGAAGCATCATAAGTGAAAAGATCAATGGAAACATTAACGAAATATGAAATGGTGGAAGTGGAAGAGAGAATTTGGAAATGGAGGATAACATATTGTGTTCCCAAAAAAGACATGGTGCGAGATATGATGACAGCAAGAGAAGGGATTCTAACATCGAAACCCTTTATGTTCTATGCCATAGCCTAAGACGCAATATAGTCATGATCGCAATTGTAACTTGTTGCGTTCATGGGGATGAAGGAGAATAAAACAAGAACAACCAAAGGCTCAGAGTTCAGTGTAGGAAGGAGATGTACCATGGAGATGTTCATATGGGGTTTGATTTTCAATGATAGGAGATGTTATAAAGTTAATAGTGTAAACAACCGTAAGGGCAGCTTCACCCCAAAAGCGCTTAGGACAAGAAGAAGAGATGAGAAGAGCTCTGAGTGTATCAAGAATGTGCCTATGTTTGCATTCAACACGGCCATTTTGTTAGGAGGTGTGAGGAAAAGAGAGATAGGGAGGTGTACCATATTCATGGAGAAGTTTTAAAAACTAGTTTCTTTATATTCTTGAGCATTGTTAGATCGGAAAAACTTTGATAGAATAACCAAATTGAGTTTTAATCATTTTAGCAAAATAAAAATAAGTTTGAGGCAACTCAGAATGTTGTTTTAAAATATAAATCGAAGTGAATCGGGAATAATCATCTACAAAAATAACAAAAGTATCTGGAGCCCCCTATAGTGGTATTGGGATAAGGACTCCAAACATCAGAGTGAACTAGAGCAAATGGAAATTTTGAAAAATAATCACTTGTATTAAAAGACAAAGTTGGCTGTTTAGCAAGTTGACAAGATGGACAATCATTATTATAATTAGAATAAACATAGTCTAAATGGCCACTAGACCCTAAAGTACGCAACCGACCAAAAGAAATATGCCCTAATCTAGAATGCCAAAGATTAAGAAAAGGAGTGGATGTGATGTGCTAAGTAGTAGGTGCATAAAATGGTAGATAGAGATTGATGAGCTCAAGCAAACGTCTAGTTTTATGCCTGTAGCTCGACTTTTCGTGCTCCTTTTGGAAGACGATAAGCCCTACAGTTCAGACTCCCGTGGTTCTGAATCTGATCTCACAAGTGCAATGTGAAATAGATAAACACAAAAGAGTCCAAATCCGACAAATCTTTTGAAAAATCGATTTTGAATCAAAATGCCAAAAATGGACTACTTTTCCAGATATAGAGTCGCTACTTAAATATTTTATTTTGAAAAATTTAGGAAACCCATGACTCGTGCCAAAGGCCACGTGTCCATTATCACCAAGATTGTCTCAGCTCGAGAACTTAAATATGAGAGGGGAAGGTCAAGAATTGAGCACCCCCGCTAGCCCGATCAAATATTGGCCTTTACAAATCATGATGTGATTCTTATTTATATTATATGCTCTTGTTCTGGTTATTAGGCTAACTTACTATGTGATGCACACACAAGTGTATAGACCATTTTTCAAAAATTGGAACATTTAATTTCATGTTTGTTTTTGAAAATAGTTTGTGAATGTGCCATTTGAAAAAGTGGGCTCAAATGTACATTAATCAAACTATCCCAATTCAAGCAAGTAGCCTTCATCTACAGGCATTCTAATAGTTTATACTTAAGCATTTAGCCTCACGGTAAACATACTTTGACATGGTAATAACCACACTCATGCGATATACTAAAACAAATAAAAATTCACCTAGTACTCCAAGCCAAAAAAGATGACACAGTTAAAAAAATGCATGATCTTAACTATGCAATGTGACTAATGCAATGCATGCGATATGTAATTTACTAGTCTCGGCTTCTAATATGGCATATGAATCACTTTGATAGCATGTAGTCTAAGCATGTATTTAAAGAAGTATTAACTAACAATTCAAGTTAGAATGATGCGCCGAGCTCAATGCATGCAAGACAATGGATGCAAAGCATGATAGATGCTAAACGAAACATGATGATTATAATAATGGGGCTATAAGCGGAAGCATACAACAAATAAGACGTCCATTGAGCTGTGCTAATATGAGCAAAATTTAAAAAGTTAACGTCATAACACAACCAAACATTAATTACCTGCCCATGCAAAAATATAAGTACCATAGGAAAATTCATACAAATAGTTTCATATCCCAAGACCATTACAGAAAAATCAAAAAAAACATGATGTGAATCGAAGGGAAAAGCTCCAACTTGGAGGCAAGACTCCACAGGTTCGCAAGATAGCTCCTGAAACTGACTCTAAGGTTGGACTCCATGCTGCTGATCACCTACATGTGCATACATAATATAAGGTGAACGAAACTCAATGAGTAATAATAATAAAGTAAAGAGTATCAAATGAATAATCTTGAATTAAAGGAAGTACATTATGTCAACACAATCCTTTTCCTCAATTTCATCATTCACAACAATATCTATAGTCACGTTTACAGAACGGCTTTAGGCCCAACATTTAACAGAACGACCTTAGGTCCAATATATATCAAAACGACCTCAGGCCC